ATTAAAATATAATATACACAAATAAAAAACAGAAAATAAAATGAATAATATATATTTATTAATAATTTATATTAATTAAAATATAATATAAATAAATAAATAAAACAGAAAATAAAATAAATAATATATATTAATTAAAATTTTCTTTAATTAATAATAAAATAAAAAATAATAATTACAAAAAAACAAAAAAACACAAAAAATCATAAAACATAAATGATGAAAAGCTACCTAGGGGTGACATTAGCAAATGATAGGGGTATCATTAGCCACCCCCTTATTTATACCTAATGGTTCAGATTAGTATAATAATTAACCATGGTACGGTAGATTTTATTTGTACTTAATGGTTCAGATTAGTATAATAATTAACCATGGTACGGTGGATTTGGGGGAGCTTATTAAATATTGATTTAAAAAATCATAAATAATCCACAATTTTATTTAAAAAATCATTAATTTTCATCAAAATATCAGATGTGATGTTGATCATAATAAATTTAAGTGAAAAATAAATGTAAGTTATGCACAACATCACAGATGATATTTGTAAACTATGAATTATATTTTAAATTACATATGATCTTAAACATGTTAAATGTGTTACGCTACACATCACATGTGATTCTATTTTCATTATTTTCTTTTTCAGTGTTTAATTTGAATTAACTTTTTAAATCACATGATCAAGAAATTCTTTTGGAAAAAAATTCAATTATTGCCTTAAATAAAAATAATAAGTTATTTATATGAAAATTAAATTACTGTTTATTTTAAATATCTTAAATAGAAAATAGATTATTTAAATATAAAATTAACTCATATTAAAATCATAGATATGATAAAAAGTTAAATTAAATAAATATCTTAAATAACTCTATATAAATAAATGACTTTTTCTCTTATTAATTTATTTTCGAAATTATTTACTTAAATCATTATTTGATGAATTATATAATTCATATTTAATTTTTTTATTCGATTATTATTCTCGTTTGAACCAAATTATATATATAGAGAGAGAGAAAGAGAGGAGCGTTCAAATGAAAATCGCCTTTATTTATTTAAACCGTATAAACCAATCTCATTCATTCATTTTCTTGATTAATGGTCAAGATTAGTTTACTTTATTTTAGGAAATTAAAAATTATATATATTAAAATTTTATTTTTATATCAGCAATAAGGGCAAAATGGTAAACAAAAATACATATTATGTAACATCCTAATTTTTTTTTGAAAGGCAAAAAAGGAAGGACAAGGAGGAGAGCTTCGGCATGGCCATCACCCTCACCAAGCCAACCAATAAAATTAAACAAAACGATCCAGCAAGAAGCTAGACACAAGAGGAATCAAGAATCCACAATAACAAACGAAAACAAAAAGAAGCAAAAAGAGACATCCCCAAACTAAAGCCAAAGCAAAACCCAAACCTGAGACAAGCAAGTAGACTAAACAAAGTAAGGAGAATAAGACCAACTATCCCAATTAAGATGGAACTTATGATTCTTGTTCCCCATCCAAAGCTTGGAAAAATTTTGAATACCTGGGAATGGGTCTTCACCTCTCTTCTTAGCTTCCGCATCATCCTTAGCATGAAAAATTTCATTCCGCCACTTCCAAAGTTGCCAAAGCGCCACGGCGCACACTGATAAGAAAATCACTCCAACCTTACGATGAGTACCGACTTGTTTGATCAACATTGTAAAATCAGACACCGAGGAAAGCCACGGGGCTTTAAGATCCCACCAAGCCCATATTTTCCTCCAAAGAATGCTTGCCACCGAATAAGAGAAGAAACAATGGTCCAAAGTTTCAACACCTTTGCCGCAAAAGATGCACTCCAAAGATTGTAACGGAATTCCTCTTTTTGAACGATTGAATCTTACCGGAATAGCCTCTTTAAGGAAGCGCCAAGTGAAGATGTTTACCTTCTTAGGAATTAAAGGACTCCAAAAAAACGGATCATTGCTTCCAACATTTGTCTCAACCGCTCCTTGAATTAATTTGGACAATAAGTTGACCGAGAAAAATCTCGTTCTTGTTCCAATTCCACAACCAAATATCCTCACCCGAAGTATTGAAATCCACAAGAGAGAGTTGCCTTTCTAGGGCTTGAAGATCATCTAAGCTTCTACCCCTAATCATTGTTTTCCAATCCCAAGCACCACTCCAAGAACCATTAATATAAGTCCATCTGTCTTTGAAAGAAGCATTTTTATTCCTTTCCAAGGCATAAAGTCTGGGGAAAAGGTCTTTCAACTTTGAGCCTTGTCCGATGCTCGCATCTTTCCAAAAAAGAGAAGAAGAATCTTTAGCAACCTTTTTTGTAAACGAAAGGATGACATTCTGACCTGCAACTTCCACGTTTTTGCAAGTGTTGACAATAGAAACCCAAACGCTTTTTCCAATCAAAGGCCTATTTGAAAAAAGACCACCATCCTTACCATAAAATTCAGAAATGACATCCTTCCAAATCGCATTAGAGCTGGACAAGAACCTCCATACCCATTTTGCTAACAAAGCAACATTTTTCGTTTTTAAGCTAACGATACCCAAACCACCAGTCGACTTAGGGCTCAAAATTTTCTCCCAACCAATGCAATTTTTTTTTCATCCTCCTTAAAACCCCAAAAAAATCTTCTCCTTGAAGGACATTATTATTTATTTTAGGAAATTAAAATTTTTTATTTGTTAGGAAATAATTTCGCTAATACAGCAGCCTTTTTATTCTTTATTTGAAATTGTTTCAATGTCCTTCACACACCCATGTAAATATGCACCCTATTCATTATGAAATTATTTCAAGACGCAGCGGTTTCATCATGAATCCATTTCAGCATGTAATTATTTCATGACAAACCACATGCATTATGCACCCGTTTCATTTTGCATTTCACCTATTAAATGGATCAACTACACCATCACTGAAACGAGGTTACCATCAAACTAGTTCACTACTCATTGTTCAATTACGCCATGAACTAGTTTCACCTTCATGAAACTTGTTTCATGTACATAGATTAGTTTATTTCGCTCCTGATTTGATGAATTCATTCATTTAATCCTTACAATCTTAAAGATTCTGTAGCAAATTACAATCTTCAAGATTATGGAACAGGTTCATCATGTACCTGTTTCATCATGCAATTATTTCATGACGAATCAAATATATTATGAACCCGTTTCACTACTCTTGGTTCAATTACGCCATGAACCAGTTTCACCTTCATGAAACCTATTTCATGTACATTAAATTTCTTATTTCACCCGTGATTTGATGAATTCATTCATTTAAGCCTTGTAATCTTCAAGATTCTGTAACAGATTCATCATGCAATTATTTCATGACGAACCAAATACATTATGTACCCGTTTCATTTTCCACTTTACCTACTAAATGGATCAACTACACCATCAATGAAACGAGTTCACCATGAAAATGTTTCATTGCTCATTGTTCAATTATGACATGAACCAGTTTCACTTTATGAAACCTGTTTCATTTGTATTAATTTCTTTTTTCAATCATGATTTGATGAATTCATTACATTATGTCTTACAATCTTCAAAATTCACCAGCAGATTCAATCGCATCACAACATATTTAGTTCAAATTTTTAAAATTATAATATAATTAAATATTTAAATGTTACAATTTATAAAATTTACTTTATTACGTTTCCTTAATTAAGATTTATTAATAATTTTCATATTTAATTAAAAATATTGCAAAATGACCGAAATATTCTTATTGATTAAATTTAATTAAAAAAAAAAGAATTTTGCTATTGGTCGAAATTAGTTTACACGGTTTCTTAGAAATGCACGATTTTCATTTGAACGTGCCCCTATATATATATATATATATATATATATATACTATATTATAAAGCATTTGGCTAAAACTCTTAAAACTCTTAAGAACTCTTAAATCGAATTTCATCCCTATCCGATTTCATCCCATATCTGAATTCGTGTAACTAACTGCAGATAAATACAATTAAATACATGATAAACATCTAATTTTAAAT